GCAAGACATTTCTAGGCCTGAGGTCCTCGAGCGAAGTCTCAAGGTCTCGCTAGTCCGCTGAAGGACCTCAAGGAGTCCTTTGGGTCTGACCTGGTCTGGGACCGGGAAACTGTAGAGATGCTGAGATGATGCTAAACACCTCTCATATGTTCTTTCCATAGTACAACCCTTACTGAGTCGACAAGCCCTTATTTAAACTGCAAAGTATCATAATTAATAGACCTTTATTACCCCTAGGGTACCCAAATATTAACTCCTCCATGTACAAGTTCAGGTAGACAGACTTGTGAATGTTGCTGACCAAGCAAATTGTGAAACCTCAATATTCCAAACTGGAAAGCAACCAGCAATTTGCAGGGGGCCAAGAAAATTATCAGAGGTAATAACAGGCTATTTCATTCTCAGTAAATTTTCTGGGCATCCCTACTCAACATGAGAGGCCTAAACTGCGAGTACAGAGGGGGAGTCCGGCCAATTACTGCCAAATTGCCAAATTGGGCGCTGTTTCGGTCTCTGGTCCCCCAAGCACAGGACCCGCTCATAGACCATGGCTCGCGGTATGTCTGTGGGAATGTCCTCCATGGTAATTGCCATGGAAGTTCTCAGGCCATCACAAATCTCTACTTTTGGTAATATTACGTAATTTGTGCCTGATCTCAGTGGGACCAATCGAACAATCCCTCGTTGTCATGTCCATTGTACCAAAAACGGCTCGGTTTCTATTTACCTGCTGCGCCTATAAACAACGATCCCTGAGTGGAACTGGCGCGAAATGGACTATCGACATGCAAACAGCTGCAATCGGACGAGGACGACGGTTCTGGTGAGGTGCCCGGCAACGAGTGAACAATGCACACCAGGGGACACCTGAGTGGAATGTTCTCATCACACGCATCTACGAGGTCAAGTGTCCAAGATCATCGAACGCTGATCCTGGACGAGAAAGGTAACCTACGTGGATTCGTCCATAAGATTCGTGCAAATCTCAGATTCTGCCTCACGCCAACTCAAAAGACCAGAAGATCAAACTCGCCGTCTGACTCCATCTTCCCGGCAAGGGAATGATAATCGGCGGTCAAGTCGGCAGTCGGAAGGTTGTGTAAATGCCGAGAGAGGGCAGAGTAATCCGAGAAGCCGATGTAAAAGTTGGGGAGGGCGCAGAAGTTCCGAGAGGGGGGGTTTTGAGCACGTCGTTTGGGGGGAAGGGGTGGACGCCACCGAGCTCGGGCGCGCGGTCTGAACAAATTCA